CAGAGCCAGGCGGATCTCTGTGAGTTCGAGGCCAGCCTGGGCTACCAAGTGAGTCCCAGGAAAGGCGCAAAGCTACACAGAGAAACCCTGTCTCAAAACAAACAAACAAACAAAAAAAAAACCGAAAAAAAAAAAAAGAAAAGAAACTCCATATGGAATTTACTTTCTTTGTGGCAAAAGTTAACCACTGGGCAAGAAACTGCCTTTGCCTCGACTGCTGATAGTATCATGTTCAAACTGGACAGGCAGGACACAAAAGAAAGTCACTGCTAAACTTTGCTAAGACAAGGCAGGACAGTCCTTCAAAAGTACTGCTTCACAGAAAAGTCTGTCAGATATTCTAGGACTGTAGGCCAAAGATGGATGCCCCAACATTACAGAGAAACCTTGGGTGAATGTCCAGGCAGTCAGTTGTTTTTATCATTTCTTAGTTTTGGAAGTTGTTTGCTCTGCACTTACTGTTTACTCAGGTATTATTATATCCTTCTCAGTCTCTGATGGAATTAAAGACTAGATAGATATAGTTTTCTTTGTTACCAAATTCAGAAAAGAAACTCACAAAAGAGATGTAAAGTGTATAAGGTTAAGAGGCATAAAAAGATAGTTTTGGGTTGATGATGCAAGTTAGGATAGAAAGTAAATTAGGTACAAAACTTTGGACTCACCAAGATAGGATAGATAATGGAATATTTTCTCTGAATTTGCCAAATGCAAATAAGCTGGATATTGTTAATGTAATTCTTACCTGTATATATTTGCACATAGTTATTGTAACTTATTGTATATAGTTTTACTATGTTAGTTAAAATCTTCCCTTTTATTTAGACAAAAGGGGAAGCTGAAAAGATGGTTCAGTGGTTAAGAGCATCTGATTGCTCTTCCAGAGGTCCTGAGTTCAATTCCTGGCAACCACATGGTGGCTCACAACCGTCTGTAATGAGATCTGGCACTCTCTTCTGGTCTGCAGGCATACATGCAGACAGAATACTGTATACATAATAAATAAATTAAATCTTTTTTAAAAGGGGATGGGGAAATGTTGTGTGATATTTTGATCGCATTCTGACAAGTTTACTTTGAGTCAGAGAGGGTAGAACTAGCCACTAGCTAACCAAAATTAACCATAGAAGTCTTAGATTGAGAACAGATAAGAGACAGGAAGTAGAAAGGTGAGGCTGAGAGAGGATCTCAAGCTTTTGGGTTGAGGAACAGAAGAGAGAGGTGGTCACTGGTGGCATCTTCACTTCTCTGATCATTCAGGTTCTTACCCCAATATCTGACTCCCAATATTTAACTGACAAAGAATAATTAGATAAACATCATATTGGCCCACATGGAGAAGCTGTTCTTGGGAAATTTCAATACCTCTAGCCCTATTTCATTGTTCTATGACCCTAGCTTCCTCTCTCCACCATGTTTTCCATTGTAACTGAGGACCAGCTTCCAATATTGCTGTAGCTAAATCTTTCCAGTCTTGTGGAATACTTCTGTTCTGAATGGCCCATGAATTTAACATCTGTTTCACAAAAGGTGAATACATACTATATGGAACTATTGCTTCCTTAAATCTCCTCAAATCTAACATTTCAACAGGATTTCAGTTAGCTTCTATACAGACTTGGAGATGCCTGTCATCTGGTAGTCATTCTTGTATGGTAACTGGATAAATTAAGGTTGGTTTTCTAATAATCTTGGGATACTCCTCTTCAATTTCATAATGTAATTGTGTGGTTGGTTTTGCTTTAAATTCCTCTGTCTATGTATGAATATTTTTCTTATTTTCATAAGTAGGTTTTCTAAAGCTTGTATCTTATAAGTAGTAAGTCATTCTAAGGCTTGTATCTTATCAAATTTTTCTTATTGTTAGTAAGTCTTCCTAGGGCTTACACCTTCCTAAAGCTTGTATCTTATCAATAGTAAGTCTTTCTAAGGTTTGTATCTAATTAGTCAAATTATATTTGGCACATTTATCAAACCACTTTTTTAAGGATAAAGGATAAAATACGAATTTTTTTGCCAAGCTGATAATAATTGTGATCAATGTTATGTCAGTCAATACCAGCTAAGTTGTTTATCCCCTCATTTATTTTTTTGATTTTCAAGCCATCCATAGTAGCACTAAACAGGGTCCTAACTCCCTGCATTGTGATATTTCCAATTCTTTTTTTTTTTTTTTTTTCAATTTTAAGGTTTCTCTGTGTAGCTTTGGCACCTTTCCTAGAACTCACTCCGTAGCCCAGGCTGGCCTTGAACTCACAGAGATCCATCTGCCTCTGCCTCCCGAGTGCTGGGATTAAAGGTGTGTGCCACCACCACCTGGCTGATATTTCCAGTTCTTAACATGAGAAGATTTTCCTCAAAAACAAACAAACAAAAACTTAATTTGCCACTTAAAAATTCTCAATCGTCTTGCCAGCTCTGATGATGCTGACGGCGTAGCTGGAGATGTGCAGGGGGTTAATCAGCAGCAGTGATGGTGTTAGGCTGTGCTGACATGGAGGGAGGGCACAGCAGGGGTCACTGTGGCTGCTTTCACACCCTGTGGGGAGGGCGTGAGCAAGAAATCTGTGTGGCTGTGCAGCAGCCTGGGACAGGACTGCCCCTCCTCTTGGTGGGGGGTGGCTAGCTTGATAGCTCAGCACAGCCATGCAAGGCGGTCCATTCAGCAGTTTGAGGCCATGGCAGCAGCAGTAAAAGCCGGAGCCTGGGGCCACAGCGGGTGTGGGCTGCAGTGGTGGATGTGTGTGTGTGTGTGTGTGTGTGTGTGTGTGTGTGTGTGTGTGTGTGTGTGTGTGTGTGTGTGGCGGGTGTATGCGGTGGGGGCTGGGGGGTGGGGTGTTGCCTAGCCAGGCAGCTGGACTATTTCTGCTCTGCCGTGGTGCTTGTTCTGTCCATGGGAGGCCTGGGAGCGGAGCAGTTGGCTTGCTCGACTCCACCCAGGTATTTGTGCTGGCTATGCAGAGAATGGGAGGGAGCGGCCTGAGAAGTGGGTGCGAGGGATAAATGGGCAGGAGAAGCCTCTTTGGCTAGAACGCGGTGTTGGGAACTACTGAGCTGCCTGAATGACAGGGCCAGAGATGAACGGCTGACCCAGTCAGCTGCAGAGCTGGTGGGTGGCTGCACAGATCACAATGAGAAAAGCCTTTGGTGGGAAAAGCAGGTGACCCGCGGTGGCATGGGGTCAGGCGCGAAGTGGCAGCTTTAAAAGCCGCCATGTAATATCTCCATGTGTTAGACGCCAGATATTGAGATTTTTTTTTCTTTTTGTTTTATTAAAAAATAAAATTCAGGAGTAAATACTAAGGAATAAACCTGAGAGGTCCAAGAGCAACCGAGACATGATCCTGCCTCTCTCCACTTCCCAGATCAAAAGGACTGTGCAACCTCTCAGCCTTTCCTCTTCCTCCTCCATGTGTCCTTCTATCTCCCTCTGAGTCGGACAGGGAACTCTATGGTCCACTCCAGCCAGCTGAGTGTGAACTCTGCTCTCTGAACCGAGGTCAGACTCTTTTGGTGGTCTTGAAGCAATCAACACAAATAGATCTCCCCAACAGCTCTCAGGAGATGCTGTAGGTCCAGAGCCACATTTGGAGAGCCACTAATGTGATTCCTGTCAAAAGACAAAACTAAGCCATGAGGAGATAGTGCACGACTCTTAACCCAGCACTCGCAGGGCAGAGGTAAGCAGATCTCTGAGTTCATAGGTCGGCCTGGTCTACAGAGCAAGTTCCAGAACACCAAGGCTACACAGAGAAACCCTGTCTTGAAAATAACAAAACAAGAAAAGATAAAACCTCAGGGGCTTGGGTGTAGCTCAGTGGTGGAGCAATTGCCTAGCATAGCAATCTAAAGGAAGAAAGACTAAATGATGATAAATTTTAAAGATTTTATAATTACATTTAGTTATTTTGTGTGTGTGCACATGTGTGTCATAACACTCATGGTGCTGGAGTCAGTTTTGTCCTTCCTGTGTGGGATTTGGGGATCAAACCCAGGTCATTAGGCTTGATGGTAATTGCCTCACACTTTGAACCATCTCCTGGCTCTTAAGAATCTTTTTTTTGTTTGTTTGTTTTGTTTTGTTTTTGTTGTTGTTGTTTTTTGAGACAGGGTTTCTCTGTGTAGCTTTGGTGCCTTTCCTGGAGCTCACTCTGTAGCCCAGGCTGGCCTCAAACTCATAGAGATCTGCCTGCCTCTGTCTCTTGAGTGCTGGGATTAAAGGCGTGTGTCGCCACCGCTCGGCCCCTTAAGAATTTTAATTGGCCGGGCGGTGGTGCCACACGCCTTTAATCCCAGCACTCGGGAGGCAGAGGCAGGCAGATCTCTATGAGTTCGAGGCCAGCCTGGACTACCAAGCGAGTTCCAGGAAAAGGTGCAAAGCTACACAGAGAAACCATGTCTCGAAAAACCAAAAAAAAAAAAAAAAAAAAAAAGAATCTTAATTGGCCATTGTTTGCCATTCTAGACTCAGAGAACACCTCTTGACATAACATGGAACTGTCCCAGTGGGCACAGAGCAGAGAAGGTTGGTTCCATAATTTTTTTTTTTGCTAGATTGACTAGATTTCATACTCAGGAACTGGTTGGTTTTCCTGCTCAGGGATTGGTTGGTTTTGTGCTCAGTTGGTCAGGGGCAGAGTGTGTTTCTTTGGCTCTGGTTTCAGGGTCAGAGTGTGTTTCTTTCACTGGCTGTCCCTTTTACCCTACAACTTTAACTAGGCAAAGATGTGTTACATTTGTTTGTGCTGCATTTGTTTAATGATGTAAAGATGTGCTGCTTTACCTGCCTAAGGCACCTGATTGGTCTAATAAAAAGCTGAATGGCCAATAGCTAGGCGGTAGAGGGAGAGGCAGGGTTGGTGGGCAGAGAGAATAAGTAGGAGGAGGAATCTAGGCTTGAGAAAATGAGAGAGAAGAGAATGAGGGAGAAAAAGAGTGAGACACCCAGGGCCTACCAGCCAGGCAGCCATCACCCAGCCAGACACCAAGTAGGACATTCAGAATGAAAAAAGGTAAAAAGCCCCAAGGCAAAATGTAGATGAAGAGAAACGGGTTAACAAAAGTTATGAGAGCTAGCAAGAAATGAGCCTAAGTTAAGGTCAAGCATTCATAACTAATAAGTCTCTGTGTCATGACTTGGGTGCTGGTTGGTGGCCTAAAAGAAAGCCTGATACAAACGGGGATTTGGGGGTTCAAACTCTGGTTCTCATGCCTACGGGGAAGCTCTACCAATGGAGCTACCTTCCTCCGCATTGTTTTTACATTTTCATGGGCAAGAAAAGTCTGAATAAAGCAGAAAGAGAAAAATTAAAGGATAATGAGTCATTTTGAAGTTATTTTTCTTATAAAGGTTAAAGCAGAGCAGGGGGCATTTCCTTATCCTGGCAGACAAAACTAGCCTGTTAGGAAACTGCTCCCCATCCTCACGTCTTCTCAGATGAACAACTAAAACGATGTGAGGTTCACCGTGAGTGACTCCCATTGTGGTTTGGCTATCACTCTACTCTACAGGAGTACAGTCCCACGGCCCCCACGGATGGTTTTTATTTTATTTTCTTCTCTGTGAGTTTTCTTCAGTATCCATTACTATGGAAAGTAATGGCTTTCTTGTTTTCTTAAGTGACAACCGCTGTTCCATACTAAACAGCACAGACATACTTTTGCCCTTAGGAAATGAGAGATAAGTTATTTTTAAAGCATTATGCAACAATCAATTAGTTATAATCATGATAAAAGTAAGAATGGAAAAATATAGATTACCATGAGAAAACTTCAGTAGTTATATATCCACTTATCCAGGAATCTAAGCCAATCTGGGAGAAGGTGGGGCTGTGACATGAAAGCTGAGCCCTATGACTGTGGACTATTCCTTTACACTGTGTAAATATATGTCACTGTGATTGGTTTGATAAAGAAGCTGACTGGCCAATAGCTGGACAGGATAAAGTTAGGTGGGAGAAGCAGACTAAGGACACTAGGAAGAAGAATTGTAGAGTCAGAGGAGTTGCCAGCCAGACATGGAGAGGAAACAGGAGGTGCAAGATGAAAGAGAGGTAATGCCATGTGACGGAATGTAGATTAACAGAAATGGGTTAATTTAAGTTGTAAGAGTTAGCTAGTAATTACGCCTGAGCTACTGGCAGAGCATTTATAATTAATATTAAATCTCTGTGTGTTTATTTTGGAGCCAGCGGTCCTGACAAAAACTTTGCCTACATATAACAAGTTGGAGTTTGCTAGGCAAAGAAAGGAGGCATGGAACAATCTAGATAATAGAAACAGCATGTCCAAGGGAAGCTACCTGAAGAGATAAACAAATGACGTAGGGACCAAATAAACTGTCTTTTTGTCATGGGTCAGTTAGAGGGGTGAGTGAAAGGGCCAGGAAGAGATGTGTTTGCAATGAAACTCAGCTCCTAAATTCCCTCAAGATGGAGCTGGGGCTGTAGCTCAATAGGTAGAGTGCTTACCTAGCATTCCCAAATCCCTGTCCTCAATCCCAGCTTTGCATACAACTGGGCATTGTAGCAAATGGACCTCAGGACTGAGGAAGTGGAAGCAAGAGGATTAAGAGTCCAAGATGATCTTTGCTACAGGCTTGTGTAGCTCAGACTAGCCTTAAACCCTATGTAACAAGGATGCCCATGAATTCTTGGTCCCCCTGCCTTTACCTTCCCAGTGCTGGGATTATAGGTACGGGCACCACACCTAACCACTAGCTAAAGTACTTTGGATAAATCTCAGTTTCCTTACTAGAAACTGGATGAAGTAACAGAAATCCAAAACAAACTCAAAAGTATACTTTGGGCTGACATAACTGCCATGAGTGGACTTTCAGAGTTAGGTCAGCTTTGGCTGGGCATGGCAGGTGCCCCCGAATCCATTCTGCTAGGGTGTTCTTGGCTCTGCTCTGTTTTCCTCTGCCCTGCTTCATGTCTCAAATAGGTTCCAGAGACAGCCAGGACCACAACACCTCCCCTCCATATCCATGGAGAAAACATCTTTGTTTGCAGTCTGTCTCAGAGAAATAAGTTTCATCCTTCTCCTCCTCCTGGCCTAGGTCTGTCCATCCTTGATCCAGTCATAGTTAAGGAAGATGGAGCTCCTATGATTAGTTTAAAATCTGTTCTCTTGGAGCTAAAGAAACTGAACTGTCCAGAGCCACCGTCCTCCCTTCCTCTGCCCTGCCAGTGCCAAGCTGGGGAGCTTTAATTCAGTGTACTATAAAGCACCTGCCAATGAGGCCCACAACAAATAGCAGCTGTTAGTAATCTCACCCCAGGGAGTTTTGCCCAGGTCAACTAAATAACATTTTGTTATTAATATTAATATCGAGTCAGTCTTGTTCCAAAAAGAGATTGAAGATTGTGATTACTTTTCGCTGGCAGTGCTGGGGCAGCCCCTATCCATCTTCTCCCATCTATTCCTATTGTTTCTGCTCTGCCCTTCTTCATTTGGCTATTTGGTCAGCAAATGTTAAAAGAGTTAGTATCAGGCATTTTACTAAAAACTAAAACTTCCAAAGTGAACAAGTTTCAGGAAACTTGGTCAATAAAGGTGCCAGTGACAGACACTTCTAACACAGTGTGAAGAGCACTGTAAAAGAGGTGTGTGCTACCATCTTTTTTTATGTGTGTGTGTATATGCTTTTGAAGCATGGGAGGATGTAAGAAGGAGCAACTAGTTCTGTAACAGATCCCCAGACCTTAGCACAAATGACACCACTTTGGAGGCACCGTTCTGACCTTAAAACCCAGCACTTACTTAGGCCCCAACACCTGCCAATATGGGAACAAAAACCCAGTCCATCAAAGACCTGTTCCATAGTTCCAGGAAAGTCCCTAAATGTTCTAATCTTGCTTTCTGGCCTCTGTAGTTCTGCTTCTTGCTAACTGAAGTGTGACAACCAGGACGTGGTTTTTGTGCATAAAAAGCAAAAGGCTGCAAGACTTGAAGGTACATGGCTTGGGTAAGTTCCCTGTGCAGCTAGTGGCCAGCAATAAATACTTCCTTTTCAGCTTTAAGAGTGTCTGTGAGGTGGTCTCTGGTGGGCTTACCTTGAAACAGTTCCCTGCAGGGCTAAACAAATATGGTAACATCTGTGTTGGTTCTTGAAGGATGCATGGAAGTTTATCTGGCTAATGCAGCCTCCTTCTCCCATTCCAGGTTGACTCCTGCTGTGTCAGAACTCTCCATTGCAAGTGGCAAGGTTGGAACTCTAGAAATGGACTCTCTCCTACTGTAGGGGAAAGGAAATATGTTGTCTCATGTCTATTAAAGACAGATTTCAAAGCTGATAGATTTCTGTTATGAAATGAAAGTACAGAACTCAGTTTTTCTCCTTTGCTGGTTCTGCTTCTGGTTCTTTATCTGAGCTGGGACTGTAGCTCAGTGACAGATGCCTTGCCTAGCACATACAAAGGAGTTCAATCCCCAGTACTGTCAAAGAACTTTATCTACATGGTAGTCCCAGCCAGGACCAGCTTTTATCCTCCACCAAGCTGTAGCCTGGCAGAAAAGATGGCGTACCCATACATGGTCCCAGGAAAGTAATACCATTGGCTATGATTGAGTCAAATGCCCATTCCTGAACCAATCATGGCAACCAGTGCAGAATAATGCTCTGATGGGTGGACTCCAAGTAATGGATTCACATGCTCCCACCCCCAAATTCCAGAATATTTCATTCAATGGACCAGATTCTGCAATCACAGTTCTGAGGGGCTCTTAAAGCCCAGAGGGTTTTAAACATATTGGATTCTCAGCAGACAAAGAACAATGGTGTCACTCACTGTAGATTTAAAGTAGGAAGTAAGGTTGGGAATCTGGTTCCCTCTGGAAATAACCTCAAGGCACTCAGGTTAGTCTGAGGTTCAGTGCTTTGCACTGGGTCTTTCTTTCCTCCCTCTGCCGATTCTTTCTAACCTCAGATTCCTCATCCAGAAAATGGGACTAACATTAGCACTGATTGGCTGGATGGCACCTGGAATTTTCAGATTCTTCTAGGAAATTCAAACTAGGATGAGAAGAGTTGACTCTCTGATTGTTGTTTTTGTTTTTGTTGTTTGTTGGTTTGTTTTTAGGACAGAGTGAAGCAAACCTACAAAGACTGACAGGAGTCCCCAGGTCTGGGGCCAGCAGGACCATTAGAAAGCCAGCAGGGGGGAGGCAGGGAAGGCATGAAGGCAGCCAGGGAAGCACCAGCCCAGGAGATGGGCAACTCTGCCTGCCGTAAGGGCCTCTCTGAACTCTAGCTGGCAGTCTCTACGAGAGCAACCCAATTCAAAGCCAAACTACAAGGGAGCCCACTGATTCTGTTCACAGAGGTCAACCGCAAGGGAACAGGGTCAGATAGAGGAAGGAGTGTGATTTCAGGGCTACAGGTGAAAGAGATCGGCTGACTGCCATTACTGCCTGTGAAATGTTTAGAACTATGCCTGGCATGTCAAAATGTTTTTAATAGCTGAGGGTGGTGGAGCAAACCCACCATCGATCCCTGTACTGAGGAGGCTGAGGCAGACAGGGGGATGGAGAGTTTAAGGCCAGTTTAGGGTAAACAGCAAGACCCTGTCTCAAAAACAAAATAAAACAAACAAACAACAAAAACCAACACCAACACCAACAAAACCCAGCAGCGGTATACATAACCAGAAGCCCACAGCAAGTGCTGCTGTTTAAGAGGGATAATGGGCCAGCACAGTTCCTCTCTTACAAGACAATGAAAGGTCACTAGTCCATAGCCCTAACCAACCAACCGATGTAAAGCCACCTAGAACACAGGCATCATCTGTTATCTGTTGACAGTGTTCAGACAAGAAAGGAGCTTTAAAGGCTGGAAATGTGGCTCTGTGGTAAGAGTGCCTGCTATGCCCACAGGAGGGCCTGAGTTCAGATTCCAGCACTCACATAAAAAAAAAAAAGAATAAATAAAAACTGGATGTAACTGTCACTTCAGCACTGACGTGGTGGAGACAAGAAAATCACTGAGGTTATGGGCCTCGGCCTAACTGAGACCCTGTCTCAAAGGAATTAGATGTTGGCTTTAAATTCGTATTATTATTGTTTATTTATTTTATTTAATGTGTGAGTGTTTTGTCTATGCTTATGTGCACCACATGTGTGCTTGGTGCCCAAGAAGGTCAGAGGAGGACATCAGGCCCCCTGGAACAGGAGCTAAGGATGGTCGCGAGCCGCCAGGTGAGTGTTAGGAATCTAACCTGGGTCCTCTGCAAGAGCAACAAGTGCTCTTCACAGCGGAGCCACCTCCCCAGGCCCAGCTTTGAACTCTTGACACTGTTGCTGAAGGGACCCCAGCCAGCCCAGGCCTGGAAAACACGTTCTGGCAGGCCTTGCCCTTTCTCCCCGATTCCCTCTGCCTAGTTAAAAACCCTTACCTTACATTCCTAAAGCCAGACACCAAGCTCTATTCCTCCTGAAGTCCTCTGGACTTTGCTTTCATGTGCATCCACACTTTGTATATCACACACACACACACACACACACACACACACACACACACACACACACTCCATTTCCTGCCTTCCCTTGTAGCTGGTTACTGAAGTCAGTGAATCTCTCCTGCCACACAGAATTGGGGAAGAAACCATGAAATGACAAGCCACAGGACACAAGTATTACCATTTTTTTTTAACCTGTAAAGTTGCAACATCTTGGTTCCCAACAGCACATGTAATAACTATTATTAGTTAATTAAGTTATCTCTCAAACAAGATTCTAAACTCTCAGTGCATTGTTGAACAATATATATAGATAGATAAGATATCATATATATCTCATAGGGTTTCACTGGAGCTTGAGATATTCCTGTCTCGGCCTCTACAGTGCTGGGATTACAGGCATACACCACCATGCTTGGCATTAATCCCCCTCCTTTTTAAATGGCACATAAAAAATGCTGAAGCTTATGATGAACAGATGAATCTAAGTTATGTCAAAAGAGGAGAAGAACCCTCTGCCTTGCATAAATGGCTATAAACTGAGTGCTGTGCTAGGATATGACTGGTTTTCATTGTTTGTTTTGTTTAAAATGCCAGTCCGCGTTCACTGAGGTAGCAGGCACTGGGGTTTTGAAGAAGCCAAGATTGCCTAGCCAGACTCCAACGAGCATCCCCAGCTGCCAGGCCTGCTTGATAGTCTGTTTGTGTAGCTCAGTGGAGGGGCTGGCACTATCTTTCTGCTGCTAAATGGCAAAGCTGCAGTTGTTGTGGGGGCCTGGGAACCAACCTCAAATTCTGGCACAACCTGCCATCTTTTCCTGTGTGTTGAAGAAGAGCATCCAGGTGGTCTCGGAGAAAAGGATTTGGTCATAAGCCTTACATCCCTGACAGTAGCAAACAAGATGGCAAGGAAGCTCTTGGTGGGGGAAAATGTTGTAGCTAGCCGCCACTGGGTATTGCTGGAGAGACACAGGATGCTTGATGATGCAGGCCTTGGTCTGGATGTCCTTGGCAGGCAGGCATTCTAATTCTCCATGGAACTCACGAGGGTCTGGAACACCAGGAAAAGGAGGCCGGGGCCCAGGAGCTGGTGTGTACGTATGCTGACTTGGGGAGCAGTTCTTTATAATCAAAAAAGGTAGCATTTGAATTGAGCCGTGCAGCTCTTGGAGGGCACGTCTGCGTAGGATGCTCCCCGAGGCCAGTCTCCCCAGTATGTCACGGGCCGGGATGAGCGGCTGTTTGGCCAGTTTGGACCCTGTGGTTGGCAAGAAGTTGAGCCCCAGCAGAAGCAGCCCAGCTCTTCACACCTGCTATGATTCGGGCCCTCCCAGTTCATCCCCCTTGAGTGGCTCATCCATGTTGGCCACAGCCTTCAGGACCCGTGACCAAGATGGCCCTAAGCCCTAGCGCCTATGAAGCCCAGAAGACGGTGTTGGGTCCTCTGGAACTGGAGTTACGGGTAGTTGTGAAACACCGTGAAGGTGCTGGGAATCAAACTCAGGTCCTCTAGAAGAAAAACCTGTGCTCTTAACCACTGAGCCATCTCTCCAGCTTACCTGGATTTAAATTTATTTTATTTTATATTTTTATTTTTTTGGTTTTTCAAGACAGGCTTTCTCTGTGTAGCTTTGCGCCTTTCCTGGAACTCACTCTGTAGCCCAGGCTGGCCTTGAACTCTAAGAGATCCGCCTGCCTCTGCCTCCCTAGTGCTGGGATTAAAGGCGTGCACCACCACCACCACCACCACCACCACCACCACCACCACCACCACCACCACCACCCGGCTTCTTTTAAATTTATTTTAAAATAAGATCTCACTCTGTAGCCCAGGCTGGCCTTAAACTTTCCATGTTTAAGGAATGTTCACGCCCCCCCCCCAAGTGCTGGGATTATAGGTGTGGCTTTTTTTTTTTAATAGTTGAATTGATCAGACTTTGGAGACTTCTGTACTTCTTGAATCATATTTTAAAAGGCTGCCCTTATGACAAAATGATAAAGGAATTTGTCTACGATTTGATGGTGGGGTCTAACTCAAGGCCCTGCACTTGCTAGGCAAGTACTCTATGGTGGAGCTACATGATCAGCCCTTGTTTTATTTTGATTTTCAGACAAGATCTTACTATGTAGCTCAAGCTGGCCTCAAATTCACCATGTGGCTCAGGCTGACCTTGAACTCTCAGAATTCTCCTGCTGCCATCAATGGTTTTTAGGCCTGCCTGCAACACCATATTCTATTGTCCATTCTTTTTTTTTTTTTTTTTTTTTTAAGACTGCCACTCTACACAACCCTGGCTGTCCTAGAACTCGATACATAAGCTAGGCCTGCCTCAGACTCATAGAGAGCCACCTGTCTCTGCCTCCTGAGTGCTGGGATTAGAGGTGTGATCCAACATGCCCATTGCTTTTTAAATAATTGTATAGCTTTAAAAAAAAAAAAAAAAAAAGGTAACTCATCGATTTGCTTGGCTTCTATTTTGGTGTGCAGTGTGTGACGTATGTAATCCAAACCGTTGTTGTTTGGAGATTCAAGAAGCCAAACCAAACCAGGGGCAGCCTAAGGTGATTTAGTTCCCAGCAAGAGACCAGGCCAGTTGCCAGACCCTGATGCATGGAACAAAAGATGTGTCCAGAGCTGGCCAAGTTTAGTCACCAGGATGGCAGGAGGCAGCGCCATGTCCCAGCAGGAGTGATGACAAGAAGAGAATCAGATGGCAAGCCCAACGTGCCCGTCAGCAGAGGGACAAGGACCAGGGAAGGGACTGGAATGCTGCTTCCCGGCTGCAGACAAAGCCTGCCTGTGGTTTGGCCTTGGGTCTTGTTTCTAGTTATG